AAGCCACCTGCTACGCCAACAAGTCCTTTGAAATAAATGCAGTAGGCACTTAAATTATTGTGTCCTGCCTGTCGTTCTCACCGCCGCTCCAATTGGCCAAATATAAGCGCGCCGATTATTGATTAGTGTAAGTGCCATTATATGTATTTATAGTAGTGCGTTGGTCGATCGCCTGAGTCTGCTGGTGGTGGCTTCGTTTTTCTTTTACATTTTTTGTAGTTGTTCTTCGGCCTACGTGACGTGGCTCAACAAAAGGCTCGTCGACGATACGGGCACAGACAGCTGTTCGCCTTATCCCTTCTTATTCCGAGGCTCAAGGCAACTCGGCTCAGCTGTGGCTATCCTGTTGCCGAGTGTGCCTGTCTGCCTGCCTGCCTGGAATGGCCTGTGTTGTGTGTCCTGTGCCCGGACTCGCAACCACTTCGCACATTTGCGCCTAGTTTACGACAGCTGCCAGCCTGTTATTCCTACCCTTCGCCAAAGGTCCTTACACTCGACAAATACGCAAGAAGTTTCAAGAAAATTTTATTTGCGTTCTCTAGAAACTACTGTTTAAAATGAAGAAGCTGATAATACAAGTACATCTGAAAGGAGGTTTCCTGTGCCACAACAAGTTGTTTCTTTCGACCTGTGTTCAGGAACATATTAATATTATTTTATAGTATAGTTATTTCAGCTTGTTTTTCAATTGAAAAAATGCTTGAAACTTGGCTTACTAAGACTATTCTATTTTGTTATTGGAATGCTTTTAACAATATTTGAACATAGGGATGCCAAAACTGTGTGGTAGAACACTCTTTTAATGAAAAACTCTTCTCATGATGATATCTTAACCAAATTTAATATTTAAATGTTTTTAATAATATATCCTGATAACATTTTATCAAAACGATTGCACCCAAAACTTGTTTGTTCAAAAAGATATCACAACTAATTTTAAGTTTTTTATTCAAATGCTAAGTTTAACAATAAACCTCTGCCATTAGGACGATCGTTTGGAAAAAACATGCTTAGTACCAACAACTCGTTTTTTCCTTACAATATAGTTACCTAATTTAATATTTATACGTTTTTTTATACTAACCCATAATATAAAGTTTTAACGAAATCTAGATTTTTCTCGAAGTGTATTTGTTTGTTTTTCGTTGCTTCTTCTGCTGCCGCTGCTTTGGCAGTTGATTGATCCTTCATTCGATCTTATTACAGCTGCCGTGCGCCCTTTTTTCCCTTCTTAGGTATGAAGTTCACGTGCATTCATATGTCTTGGTCTGGATATGTTGTTGTTTTCGTTTCTTTAATTGATTTGAATTCAATTCCTAATGGCAGAGTGTGGGCTGGATTTTCTTTTTCCCTGCCGTATTCCACATTCACATTCCATATTTGGATGCCTTGCGAAGCCGCAATCAAGAATTCCTCGCAATTTAAATAATTCCACAATTTGTCGTTTGTGTTCTGTGTTTGTTTGCGAATTTTGCGAAACTCGATAAGCAAAAACTTTCGTTACTTCCTTCCTTTTGAAACGCGCGCAACCCTTTTTTGACAATTGTCGGACAGCATTGTTGTCGTCGCATTATTTTTGCTGTTTGGGGTTCGCAGACAGACGACGCACGCTAATATAATATTTATAGTTGGTATTTTATTTCCGGCTGCCCTGCTCTTTATTGAATTTTACACAACTAAAAAAAGTACATAGACATTGAAATCGAAATGCAAATGCAAAGCAGGCGAGCACGCAAAAAGCAAACTACAAAGGGGTTGATTGCCTCCTCCCCTAACCGCTCGTCCTTCCTTCTGTCAACCAAAAGCAAACTCATTCGGCACAGCAACAGGATAATCACTCCGACTCTCCTGCCTGCTGCTGCTGCTGCTTCTCACTTCGTCTGCTCACACCAGGCCAGCATTTGGCGGGCACCAACATTTTAAAAGCGGAAAAATAAGCGAGATAATCATAAAACTTATCCTAATTCTAAAAATACTTTGTCATAACATTATCTGACCTCTATTACAATATTTGTGATAGATAAAACGACGATGTTACGTTTACAATCTGACTAGAGACGGCAGTAGGGCCCTACAATTGTTTCTTTTAAAAACTGGCGCTTGTAATAGGTATATGATTAATTCTATCAGTCTCTAAAGAGAACGCAAATATATTAAATAGGAAATAAAAAGGAACATGTCCACAATATCGTACACATTTGTAATACTGATTGCTTCAGTGTTATCCGATCTGGAATCCTTGCAAGAACTCCATGTGTGTATAATAGACAGATGGGAGCAGAAAACCCAAAAGAACCGAAAATGCATTACTGACATGAAATACAAAACAAAACAGCTCTTTAGCTTGTGAGTTCACGATTTTAAATGCCTGCCTGACCCAAATCTAATGAAGCATGAAGACGTTGTTGTTGTTGCGCTTGTTTGTTGAAGAAATTCGACACTTCTTGAATATAGCAAGTAGTGTAGAAATTACAAGAAAGGAGCAACAGGCCCTAAAACTGCCGCGGCACCAGTCTTACTCAATTAGTAACGGTAATAAAAAATATTTGATGTAACTTTAATTCTAATTGGATTGCAACGACAACTGTCAATGTAAAAATGGAACGCAGCACTATTATTGTTATTGTTATGTTGCTGCACTCTCTTTCTCTCCCTCTCTCTTTGTAGCGGTTGCATTCCAGGTGGCAACGCCATTCAATGCATAGACATAGTTTTTCAACTTTTTGTCTACGTGACCAAAATACAACAACAACACAACGCCAAACCCCCACCCTCAAATTAAACAGCAACAGCAACAGCTCACGCAGCTACTGCTGTCGCTCAGAGTGAAGCTGCCAGCTCCTCTCTCTCTCTTTCTCTCTCTTGGCTGTATCTCCTCTCCCCAACTCCTGTGCGCTCTTTATTGTTTATGCATTCAGCATTATGTTTGGTTTCGTTTTCCGCTGTTGCTGCTGCTGCTGCTGGTGCTGCATGTAACATTTGTTGCCTCACACTCTCGCACACACCCATGCATGTGACTAGTTACATACACATTCGTACATATAAAGTTACATACATTGTTGCATATGGCAACATATGCCAAACCACAGAAGGTGGAGGGAATATAAAAATAAAATAAAAAAATAACTCGTCGTTGCATTGGTGCGTTGCTGTTGTTGTTAACTAACTGACGAGTGGCTTGTGGCTGTGGTTACTGTTGATGTTACTGTTCTTGTTGTTGTTGTTGTTAGTGCTGCTGCAACTCCTGCTGCTGTCTGAGCATTCTTTTGACTTGAATCATTATTACATGTTGCCGTTGCTTTTTAGTTATTGCCATTGACAGGCGAACGGCGGCGACTGTTTTGAGTGCATCAAGCGATAAGCTCTTGAGTTGCATTGTTTTTGTTTTCCTGTTCTCTGCATGTTGTGTACCTTTGTTTATGTGTTTCTATGAATGTGTGCGTGTGTGTGTGTGTGTGTGTGAGGCCTGTCTTTGGACTGCAAATAAAACTTTTAATCTATATGGAACACATGCTGCGTCGCGTGATTTTTACCACCACATCCACAATTATCAGCAACCAAACAAAGCTTACGCAGTTGATTGACTAACAGGGACATGCGGTTAACAGCGCGCTGTAAAACAACTGTCAAAGCAAAATGTCGCAACGTAGTTGGTTGGCACTACAAAAATAAATAAGCATATGTATAAACTTAACTTAGATTTCTTTGGCAAATTAGTTTGCTATTAAATACCAACTATTAAGACAACTTAGTCAACAAGTCAAATTGTTGTTATTTCGATGTTGAAAGTTACATTTCATGATAATAGATATTTTCAGTTTTGTTTTAAAGTAGAACCAATCGTTTTCAATTTAGTGTCTCCTTATGCTATTGTTTTCCATTTCAAAGCTAATGCCGAATCGATAAATGCTTTTTTTATTTATTATTTTCATAAAAATAAATATAAATAATTTAAAATTTTACACAGATTTTATAGATGTGTATTTTCCATTAAGGTCCCCATAAGAATAAATAAATAAATATACAAGAAATTCTTATATCGAAACTCTAAATTCTAAGAACGAAAAGAGATTTTAAAAAAAATTGTATTATACAAAAAATTAGAATGAGAATCTCTTACTTCAAATATTTGATAAAACATTTAGTTGAGATTCTACTCTACTCTCAAGGCACGAAGTTCCCAGAACCTCTGCAGAATATTTTATTTTCAATTGTAAATACAGATTTCCATTGCGATTAATATAAGTTTTGATATTTCATTAAAAAAAAAACATTAATACATGTTTTATATGTCTAGAAACGTAAAATAATGTATACAGTAAGAAGTTTTTATGAAAATTTTCCACACACAACATACGAGTCTATAAATAATCTTAAACATGGCTTAATTGTTAAATATTAATGATTGATTAGGGAATTAAAAATAAGAAAAGCTTTAGAAAACTTGATGAAGAACGTGTCAAACATGTAGTGGTTGGATACTGTTAAAGAATATTTTCATCTTTAATCAGTTCTTAAGCAACAATCAGACTTTCGTGGATATCTTTAGTATTTCATTCGTAGGCTTCATTTAAAGAAAAGTGTAATATTATTAACATTAGCTGCGCGCGAACTCTTCATTTATTTACTATATCTACCACATTACGGTTCTTTTGAAGTCGGCCTGAGGCAGACAGCACTTATATCGCTGGCTATACATATGTACCTACATATGTGTATATACATATGTACATATGTGTGGCTGTAATTGCCTGAAACCACTTCAACTGTTTCTTTCCCCTCAACCTTTGGGACGACATGTGTTTACAAGTCGCTTATTCAGCCGGAAGTGTCTACATAACTTTTAATGACCGCAGCCCCAACAACAACAACAACAGCCTTAAGCAGAAAAGAACAAACAAGTCGTTGTTAAACCACATCTCGTGTTAGCTTTAAGAACCACCTATAAAGCACCACAAACTAAATATGAATTGCTTTCTTCTTCTTGTTATCATTTCCAGCAACGAACGGAGCTCAGTCCACCCACGCATCAGACATCCGCCACCGCTGAGGTGAATGCAACGTTGGTGAGCGTAACGACAGCGTCAATAGCTAGTGCAACGGCAACAGCTGCCACCACAGCGGCGGCAGCAACCACCACAACTACCTCAAGCAGTGGTGCTGCCACAGCAGCGGCTTCGACAACATCGGCCTATCAGAAGTCGTCGCATGCGGACACGGGCAAGAATGGCAGCAGTAGTAGCAGCGGAAAACACAGCAAGGATCAGATTGGTGCACAGCAGCAGCAACAACCACCTGGAGGTGGCTCCAGCAGCAGTGGTGGCAATGCGCCCAGTCTGTATGTCTCCGTACCGCTCTCCACAGCCAATGTACCTGGTATCAATTTGCCTGGCAGCCAAAGTGGCGGCAGTGGTGAGTTTACAACGCACTAAACCACTCTCAGAACAACCAACCACTCACACATATACATGCTTTACAGATGCACATTTAGCCACAGGACGTGCACAGCAGAGTGTCAGTAGTGGCTCGCATCATGAACGCCAATCACCACGCATGCCTCCATTGGATGCGGCCGGTGTCTTTGGTGGTTCAGTGGTGGCGAGTGGTGTCGCTGCTGCCTCTGTTATACAGCATCAGAGTGGCAAATCATCGCCTGCGCTGGGGGGCAGTCTAGTCAGCAGTAATATCGGTGGTGGTGGTAGTGGCAGTGGTGCAAGCAGTGGTAGTCTAACCGCCACCACCACAGAGACTGGAAATCTGAAGATAAGCTACGAGAAGCAAACAACGCGTGTACAGCAGTTGCAGGAACAGGAAGCGGCGCCGACACGTCGCAGCAGGTACGCACCACAATTCACCACACTAACCACCACTAACTACCATACACAAGTTTTCTATGTTGCCTGCGTGTGCGCCTCAGTTTAATTCATTTTTGTCGTATTTTGTTGTTCAATTTGTTGCTGCGTTGCCGTTTCCAGAACTTAAATTATCATTTATGCCAACTCACCACATGGTGGGTTTTTGCTGCAGCTGTTCAGCAAGCACTTTCATTTTAATTAGTTGTTGTTCTTAGTTGTTGCTTACCCACACAACCAAACATTCAATACACCACCGCACCACACCACACCATAACAACACAAGCACCACACGAACCACCACACTGTGTACCGCCGCTCTCTCTATAAATGACTCTCTATTTTTCTCTCGTTTTGCCTAATGTCTTCCCAATACACCACCCAATCACTACAATTATTAAAACCACACTGCACCACGCGTAGATCACACCACCACCAAACACACCAACAACAACAGCTACAGCAGCAGCAACAACAACAACAACCACAGCAGCAAATACAACAGAACTTACAACAACAGCAACCACTAGAACAACCGGTGCACTCGTCGTCCAGCTCCTTTACGCCCACGCCTACCAGCACTGCAACCACCAACAGCACAAACAAACCCCAATCGCGCTCGGGCAAGAAACGCGGCGCCGCCCTAGGCAAGGCACATGCCACACATGAGTCGACAACAGCTCAAGTAGCAACCGCAACCACCGCTGAAAAGCTGAGCCGCCACAATTCACCACACTATCGTGCAACACCCACGCCGCCGCCAGCGTTGCCCACACCACCTGTAGCCTCACCAGTGGTTATGTTGCAAACGTTATCCTCGTCATCAATTGATTCACCGCCCTCTAATACAATGCGCACCACTCGCAACAATAGCAATGCTGGGCCTTTAGCTGAGTCGGCGCCCAGCTCGGCATCTTCCTGCTCCTCCATTTCCTCGTCGTCCTCCAGTTGTTCCAATTTATTAGAAAATACACCTCTCAACATGACTACTCAACATGTTGCAGCCGGTGGCTATCGCAGCAATAGCAACACCAAAAATAACAGCAATAGCGATTCCCATGCTTATGGCAACACTGCCAACAACATGCTCCCAAACAGCACTGGCAACAATGTTGCTGCCAGCTCCAAACCTTTGAATAAGAAAATGTTGCGTGCGCAACAGGCGCAAATGTATCAGCAACAGCAACAACAGCAGCAGCAGCAACAACAACAACAGCAATACGTAACCGCCTCTGGTGATTCACCAACAAACCTTACCTCTTCCTCTTCTAGTCTAATAGCCACCACTAATCCCACCACGTCCACAAATAATGCGCAGCAACATCTTGATTTAGAAATTTTGTCATACACTAACACACATGCAAATTCCAATGCTTCTTCCAACAACAACAACAACAACGCATCATCAACAACCACCACAACGACAACCAACACCACCACCACTAAACCGAAAACAAATAGAACGCCAGATGCCTATGGAACCACCAGTACAAGCAGCACCACCGCCAACTCCCTGAGTCTCAATCTGAGCAGCAGTTCAGCGGCAAGCAGCAGCACCACTGCCGGTGGCTTGAAGTTCAGCTACGAAGCACAAAGTGGCCAGGATGTGCCGATGCTGCCTGTGAGTGCCATCAAGGATTCACCACCGAGCTCCCCGGGCTCCGAAATTGCCGGCCCCCTGCATACAGCAACCACCGGCAACGTTAGTGCAGCAAATCCCGCCGCATTGCAGGTGACTGTGCCACCCATTACCAATGTTCGCAAGCGTGGACGCAAAGCCAAGGATGTTACATTAGCGGCGCAGGCGGCAGTTGCCGCGGCCGCCGCCGCAGCAGCAGCGCTGGCGGCCAATCAACATGATCTCAAGGATGTGCGGCTGCTGCAGAACGGTGGCGCAAGTGGCTCAGTTAGCACGCCCACACCACCAACCACTCCAGCAGCCACCAGCAACTCCCCACTGGCCAGCACAAGTGGTGCCAGCAGCAGTAACACCACCACAAACACCATCGGTGGTATCATCGCGCACACAGCCACCCACATGCTGGGCAATCACGTCAATCCCAACAGCAGTGTGGCCCAAAAACTGTCCGAGCAACTACACATGGAGGTCCAAGATCATGCCATCTATACACCCGACTCTCTCAACTCCCAATATACGGGCGTACCCTTTCCGGGCAAGCAGGTACATCTAAACAAAAAGCAATTTTCTTCTCATTCTATAAGATTTTTAATTTTTCATTGCTATGGCAGCGTAATGCGAGCGCCGGCTTAGGCACATCGAATAACACCACCGCACCACCCAACCCCCTGCAGTCCATGTTCAGTGGTGCAGGCATGAATGGCAATATGCCCATGCTGCAGAGTCTGGAACAGCTGCTCGAACGTCAATGGGAGCAGGGCTCACAGTTTCTCATGGAGCAGGCCCAGCATTTCGATAGTGAGTATGAGTCGATTTATTGGAAGGGTTCGTCTCCAACATATTATATACGATCCTATAATACATATTAGTATTACACGATTTACTCTATTAAACGATTAATGTACATTGCTTCTCTTATTGCAGTCGCTGCCCTCCTGAATTGTCTGCATCAGCTGCAGAGCGAGAATCTACGCCTGGAGGAGCATGTGACCAGCCTGATAGCTCGCCGAGATCATCTGTTGGCGGTTAATGCACGCCTGCAAATACCGCTTAATTCGCACAATACGAAATCCGAGCATGGTGAGTAGTAGATTGAGAGAAATCGGCGTGTTCTGTTCTGTACTCCTTGGTGGCAGTTTCGTAAAACAAAAAAGCACTTACCTACTTGGAAGCTCGACGCGACACAGCCGGCTAGCTAGCGAGCCACAGATTGCGACCACAAATTTTTTCTATTCTTTGTATATATACATATAAATATCTATAGATGGATAGATAGATAGTTACATTACATTCATACACAATTAGATGATAAGTGTGCGATCCTAACTGTGAAATTGCTTGATTCACGTGCTCTGTTTTAAGTTTTTCGATGCGTAGCTGCTTGTTGTTTGGCTCTTTATGCGAAAGTATCGAAAAAAAACTATTATTTCAATTTAAAGTATCAGTACTTCGTGATCAAATTATGATTTTCAAAATAAAATAAAACGAAACTATCAATACTTATTTACTAAACACATATTTTTCACAATTTAAATAAATCAAAAGTATCGTTACTGGCCGACTTAATATACTTTTTTTAAAATACAAGAAAACAAAAGTATCTATACTTTCTGAACCAATTGAAATTGTAAAAATATATATATTTCTTCTTTTTTTTTTAAACTATGACTTAAAAAGTAATATGAATACAAGAAATCAAAAGTATCTATACTTTCTGAACCAATTGAAATTGTAAAAATAAAATTTTTTTTTTTTTTTAAACTATGACTTAAAAAGTAATATGAATACAAAATTTCGATACTTATCGACAGAACTATGATTTAAAATTTAATTCAGGACTATCGACACTTATTATTGAAAAAATAAAATAACTCCAAAGTATCGCTACTTGTCGACAAAAAATTATCCTTTTACCCTTTGGAGTACAGGATAGGAAAATAAATCCAAAGTATCGATACCTACCTATTGGTATAACTGTAATCTTTTAAATATAGATAACGAAGCCAAACAGCAGCAACGCTGCATTTTCCTAACATGTCGCTAATTATATTTACAATTTAAGTTCACACTACAACAACACCCCTCCCCCCACCCCCATTCCCACTCTAATATGCATAGTAGTCATGTAAATAAACACCCACACATACATACAAGTATATTTATAAATATATTAAAAAACAAAATATAACCAATCAGCATTGCATTTTCGAAACCATAGCTTGTTTAGGCAGCTATTTCTCTGAGATGACAAACGTACTTAAACCATTGTTTTAGATAATCTGTATAGGCACATACCACATACACAAATACACCTAAAATATATACATATTTATGTAAGGAAAATATGAAAAGTACAAAAAAGAGAACATGCTAATATTTGCTACTCCGAACCAACACAACATTAATTAAGTTAATTAATTAATTAATTACATTTTGGATTTTATTTATTTACAAAATGAATAAAATAAAAATTAAAATATATGTACGAAAACAAATTCTAAATTCTTATTTATTATTTATGATTTGCAACACTGTGCGCTCATATAACGGTACACTTGGCTCTACTCTACTCTACTCTCTCTCACTACTTCACTCTTTCTGTCTGTCTCTTCATTTGTTTGCTGTTCAGTTTATGTAAAGTTTCTGCAACTTGTTTTTAATTTACATTTTGATTGTGTTACGACCAAGTGTTGTAATATGTTGCATGCACACCCAGCTCACACACCCACACACACACACACACACACACACAACAATAACAGAAGAAGAAGAAGATAAACAACAACGACAACATGTACAAAAAAACGGCAATGGGTATACAAAAGTCTTTAAGTCTAACCAAAATGCTTACAGCCGCGTGTGTTACAACAACCACCGCAATGGCCACAGCAACAACAACTTCTACAACAACAACAAACTCAGCTACTACTACCACTACTACAACAACAGCAACAACAACTTGTACAACTTCTGTTATTTCCACATTAGCTTCCAGCGGTAATAACAGCGGTAGCGGCAACAGTAACAGCATCATTAACAGCACCAATGCCCTGAATGCAGCAACAACAATAGCAGCAGCCGTATCTCTGGCGACCAGTGCTGCCAATACAGCGCCCACAACTGCCAACAGCCGCTCCGGTGGTGGCACAACAGCAGCCAGCGGTAACAGCAACAACAGCAGTGGTGGCGCTGGTGGTGGTGCAAGCAGTGGCATTGTCGACTACCGTGGCAATTCAAATAACAGCATCAACAACAACAACAACAGCAACAGTGGTAACAACACAGCAACGGCAGCAACGAACTTGGGCCTAAGGTGCGTAAACAGTTGATTTTTTCAAGCATAAGTAACTTTTTTAAAAAAGGGAAATTTAAGTGAAACTTAATTGAATTACAATCTAATAGATGTGAAACTTTTAAAATGAAAAATTAAGTTTTCTTTAAATGTGCATCACTTTGCAATAAAGACGGTTTTTTTTCTACATTTTCTACACATAGTAACTTAAAAGCTCAACTGTAATCACAACAGTCTGTTACTTAACAGCATATGTTATTTAGTTGCCAGCCATTAACAGTTCAATGTTATTTACAGGCACGTTTCAGCATCGCATGCATACAACACCAGCAGCAACAGCAGCAATAATAGCAACAGCAACAACAACAGCAGTAGCAGCAATGCAATCTCCAGTAACAACAGCAACAACATGCAACAATCACATGCGGCCTACATGCAGCAACAGCAACAACAGCAACCGCACATGCAGCATGCCACAGCGCATCATGCAACGAGTGCGGCAGTTGCCGCTCACATGTTGGGCGTGGGGATGGCATTCGGCCCCGCCAGCTTAAGCGTTGCAGCTGGCGGTGGCGCTGGCGTCGGCGTCGGCGTCGGAATTGGTGGACGAGGTGGGTCAGCAACAACAGCAACTACAACTCTAACAACGACAACAGCCAGTTTGCCACATGTCGTCACAGCAGCAATATGCACAACAACAACAATAATAACAACAAAAACAACAACAACAACAACCACAACAGCAGCAACGAGCACACCACAGTTTGGGGGCTGCGTTGTAATAAATCACCACATAGGTGGCGCACATTTGTGTAACTGTAACTCCTCTGCCTGCACCCATCCACACAGTAGCAGTGGTGCCGCAGTCTCAACGGCATATGCCGCTCATCATACGCTCTACAACACGCATCAGCAGGTAGTGTGTTGTGTGTTGTGTGCGTGTGAGTGTATGTGTTCAGAAGTGCTTAGAAACGAGAGAAAGAGAGCGAGCGAGAGAGTCGGCAATTGTGTGTTCGTTGTTCGTAACCGTTATTTCAAAATTCTCATCCATCATATATGCCATATATTTTGACTTATAATTTAACGCATTCAACTGCATTCAACTCAACCACAACTACAACAACCACAAATATGTTTACACATACAATTCGTGTGCCTTAGGCTGTGGTCAGACAAGCATTTCCATTGCACACATATCAGTATCGAAACCAATTACAATTCTATAGTCAAATATACATATATTTTTCTGCTGCAAATTATTTGCATGTCTGACCGTAGCCCTAATTTTCTCCCCAAAACAAAACCAAAAACTACAATGCGCCCGCTCACTTTTTTTTTACGCATCATAAAATGTTAATTCTTATTATTAGGAAAGCAAGTTAAAGAAATTGTTTGTTGTTTGTTTGTTTGTTTGTTTTCGTGTGCCAGCTGATCAACTGTTACTGTTAACTGTTCTCTGTTATTTGACATTTACAGCCACAATGTTAAGTCCTATGTTAAATGCCAACTCTTTTACAGTCCCAACTAAGGCGCGACGATAACCTCGCCAAAACTAGCTGAAAGTCGTATCGCGAACAAATACTATCACTGCCACAGCAACAACAACCACAACACCAAGAACAACAACAACAACAACCACTGTCCAAGAAGAAAGGAACGTTGGCCAAACGTGGACGCAACGCAAACAGCTCGAACAATGCCCCCAAACAGCAACCAAAGGCTTCCACACAGCGCCCCAAAACCCACACATACACCAAGCTGAAGCAAACAGCGGGAGGCTTTCAGCCACTGCCCGTCAATCAGAACGATGATGTAAGTAGACAGAACTTGCCTCTGTTATTGCATGGTTAGCAGCGACCCTTAACACCGATTTCAAGTTTATTTAACATTCACTCTGAAGCTCTGACAACTCTAACAGTCAAACAATTTCAACATTTCGCTTTACAGCTCACCAGCAGCAGCTCGTCGCCATTCTCCTCATCCTCCCAGCAACATTCCTCACCGGACTACGAGGCCGAGGATGAGAATGAGGACAAGCAGTGTAAAACGCACAACAACAATCAAAATGAGAGTCTAATGCAGGTGCAAAGTTTTCTCAAATATTTTGGCGCCAGCGCGGTATATGCAGCTGCTTCAGCATCAGCAGCAACAACCACCACAACCACACCACCCACCACCACCACAGTGGCAACAACAGCAACTACAACGATGGCACTCAATCGGCAACCAACCGACACAGCAACATTGTGTAGCAACACAGGAAATAATGAGCTGCGCACTTGGCGTCAAAATTATCGCACAAACACAATTGCAACAACAACAACAACAACGACAACTGGAGTAGCAACAGCAGCAACAGCGATTGCAACAAAAACAACAACACCCACACACACCCCGTCCACAAGCAGACCACAAAAATTTCAAATAAACACAAAATTTTTGCGCAAGCCACGCAACAAGCTGATGAAAATGTTGCCAGCAGCATCGGCATTGCAACATACTGCGGCAACACCAGCTGCAACAACAAGCGAGCAGCAAACGCAATTATTTAACGATGATTCCAACGCCAAATTCAAAGACTTTTCAATCGACTCACTATTGAATAAGTAAAATCAATATTTAAAAAACACATACACACATGAAAAAACAAGAAAAAAACATTGCATCATACAAAATACATAAATAAATCACTAGCCTTATGATTTGTAGCCTAATTTTGCATAAGACGCCAATAATAATAGCAACAACAACTCCACCAGAGCCCATAAACCGCGTTCCTAGTTTCCTATTTACAATTTTTATTTAGCCAATCGTACAGATAGCAATTATATATTATAATAATTATATAATGCAATTATCCTTAAGTTGTTTATTTATATTCGAAAGTAGTGGCTCAGTTCTATAACTTATGACTAGCGCTTAGCATACCTAAGGAATGTACATACAAATACAAATACATATAAATATATATACACATATATATATTTACTTAATTACGTGAATAAATCGATGACAAATGTGCTGCTCTAGTGTGTAAACATTACTCAAATCGTGTTGTACTTTTTTGTAAAATTATTGTTCAGTCTTTCTTGACGGGCAGTGGTTCCTCCAAGGCGGCGCGCACGCGCAGTATCATCTCCTTTCGCACCACATCGGGCACCATGGCACGAGCCTGGGAAAAGTAAATATCATTAGAGAGGCAGGAAATGTAAATTCGGAATGGATTGTGTCCCAAGCAGATTAGTATTTCTTTTGATTTTAGATTTGGTTTATGATTCTCAAGGCATAGCAAGAATAAGTTCCTCACATAACGCATTTCTTGTCTAAGCTACAGATCTTTGGAAAGTAGTTCCAGGAAACTGTTCTGTGATGATATTTCGGCAGTAGTTCTTTTATCAGTCATATGAAGATCTTTAGGAAGTGTTATACAAGTATTCTGAATCCTGCTCCCGTTTTCGAGCTCGAATAAATCTGTCCAAAACAATTTCGAATTTACGCTACCATTTCGATCACTCTAATATGGAACAACACTTCAATCCTTGTTATTTGAAATGTGTTTAGGAATTGTAGATGGGAAAAAGTTCCATTAAAGTCGGATCATTAATGAGAATACAGAGTTAAAAGATGAACGTGAAGCTCATTTTATTTTCTGTGGTTATGAATCGAAAATAACGAAGCAATTTTCAAAAGTTTTGGTAAGCAACAAATATTGGATTGTTTTCGTACAGGCCCTCAAACAGTTTTGAAAAAAGCTAACAGGTTTCAGTTTCCTAGTTTAATTCTAAATATTAAATTTTTCTTTGGTTTTATATTATTATATAAAGATATAAATATTATTAAAATATTAAATATTAGTAAATTGTTTAGGCATATCTTGTACATATGTATATCGCTTACGTGTGGTACTATTTCAGCAGCTAGTTGCTCGTGGCTGATATTGCCGCGCTCCTGCACGGTCTTGCGTATCAATTCCTCAATATTTTGGCGCCAGCCACATTCTGATAAACGTTTCTCCAGCAAATCCTTTAAGCTGCAACACAAAATAAATAAGTTACTAAACGAAATGTTGCGATCCAAAAGCAAGTTTCTTCCGATCCTTAAATAAGTATTACTATCAATAACTTTTTCTTCAACTTACACCAAGCTATCGCGTTTATTTAACTTGACTTCTTCGATGGGCTCAGCATCCGTGCCCATTTCCTTGCTGTCCGCCATAATGTAAACTAATAAATTGTAACGTTTTGAAAAGCAGTTGAAGGTTTTTTTTTTACAATTTGTTATGTTTTATATGAGATCTGATTGATGTGTAAGCGCCAGCATGCTTTCGTTTGTCAACATCACATATGCTGATATGTTATTCAAAACCTTAACAGCTGTAGGCGCGACGTTTGCCAACATTGGCTGTTAACAGCCAAAACAAAAATTAACAGCAATGTTAATATTTATAAAGCAATTCAATGAGTTAATAGTAGTTACTTTAAATATATTTATAAATAACTTTGATGTTATTTTATTCATTTAAATCTGCTCTTTGCAAGAATTATATTTTCATATATGTACATACATGTGTATGTACATACATTTGTATTGTATAAACATTGAGCGATCTCTCACACGGAGTGTAAGCTTCAGCAACGACAAATGTTAATAGCAGTGCAGCGAGCAGTGAAGTGTTAAAAAAAAGCTAGATCATCTAAAAAAAGCTACGTTTTCTTATAATTCTTATTCGATCGTTTCGCTGTTTTTTTAGTAAGTCTCACACTACCATATGACATCATCTACTGACTGCTATATAGATAATTTTCGAATTTGGCCGGTCTTGCTGTGCTCTTGGCTTTTCAGTTTGTGCGCTGACATGATTTCTTCTTAACTTACGAAGTTTTCTTTCATTATCTTAGCATTGTGTTCTATTTTTTATATGTAATATTACCTTTTAAAGTGCATTGAGTTTTAGAAATTACATTAAATTCCCTATCATAAATGCAATTTTTAATTTTATAACAACGAAAAATACCATTTCTCTATTTGATTCCTATTTTGCGTTGTATTTTACAAAATCCCTAAGTTAAATCATTTAAAAAATATATTAAAAATGTAAAAAATGGTAATAGCAAAATTATTATACCCTGTACCCGTAGGGTAAAAGGGGTATATTAGGTTTGTGCAAAGTATGTAACATGAAGAAGGAAGCATCTCCGACCCCATAAAGTATATATATTCTGAATCAGCATGACGAGAGAAATCGATCTAGACATGTCCGTCCGTCCGTCTGTCCGTCCGTCTGGATGAACTCAAGGATCTCAGAAACTGTAAAAGCTAGAATAACCAAAGTTGGCATCCAGATTCTCCTAGGTCCGAGAAAGGAAGAGTTTATTATTTTTTTTTAATTCCCCCCCCCCCCCTCCTTCCCACGCTTCCCCCCAAACTGCTGCAACATGTTCGCTCTTCTTCTTCCTCTTTTTGGGCGCATATAACTCAGTGACGGAAGTTTACCTGGGTACTACACTGTCGGGCTGTAGCGTTCTCTCTTGTTTTTATTTGTAGGCAATTGAAATTTGAAAAGTAGCCAATTGGCAGCACTGGCAACTACATTTTACAGCTTAGCGTGACAAATTTTCACGAAAACAATTGCTAGATCACGCACAGCTCTAGCAGATTTAAATAACTGACCTGCTCGTTACAAGTAGTCGGTATGCAGAAAATTTGCTTTATTCTTATTTAGACAATTGTTACTGAGTTTTCGCACTTTCAGCAATGTTTATGCTTACGTCAGGTGCCTACCTGCTTTATGCACAGCTATTTAAGGTCTTGGCCCCCACCCATTATGCTATATATGGTCTATTGATCAAACAGCTACATGGCTCATGGCTCGTATAGAAAAAGTTGCTTGTTTTGTCGAAACTGAATTCATTGAAGCGCAGCTTTTAATCACAGTATGTCTGCGACAGATTCAACGCCTGCCCACGCCCCGCCACACGACGCATAAGTTTTATTTAGAGACGGTTGTCGTCATCGTCAAGATTGCTTGAGGTTAACCTGTTTGCTCCAATCTCTACAAATATGGTCTGACAAGTAGTTTGTAATTGCGTGTGTGTGTCTGCCTGTCTGGCTGTGTGGGGGCATCAACATTCTCTCCATATGGGCACTTATTGCTTAATCACAGCACAACCAAAAATTGATGGCAGCTGTTTCCTTTTTCTCGCCCAAGGCGCCTCAGTTAATGAGCAAAGCAATGTCGGTTGGCAGGAAATGTAGGGTGTTGGCCTAAATTGTACACCTGCTTTGTATTTCTATGTTTTCCTTCAAATTGTTGACTGCAACATAACCTCACATTTTAAGGCGGCCGGCCTGCAATTGCCGCTGCCCTCTTCTGTATGTCGTGGAGAGTTTTCTGCCTCTCTCTTCCCTCGGAGTTTTCTGGAATTTTAAAAGCAGCTGCCGACAACAACAAATTGCGTTACCTAGGCAGGCAGTTAATTCAACCCCTAAAATAGGAAGGCCAAGCCAGCCTCAAGCACATAACACACACACACACATACATGCAAAAGTAATTACTGTAACTACACATGTATGTACATGTGTGTGTGTATAGTTCCAGTTATGCATGAAGTCATCGCTGTTGGTGCCGCTGACTCATCTAAATTTAAAATCGATGCCCACTCGAAAGAGCTGCAACTAAATTTAGGCGCTGGCCACGCCTAGTGGCATGTACAGTTGCCAGCAAATGTGTGGCATGCAACAAAATAGAAAGCTGCCAACCAACAACTACATACAAATCTAAAATTAGTGGCACGCTTTCCCCCCCCAACTAGGGTGCAATGAACTCTGGAGGCTGGAAGAGATTTCAGTTTTGAGGAAAGAAAAACTACAGTTGCATTTGTTGTTGTTGTTGTTCGTGTAAACACTGCTATTCGCTGATTTTATTCTTGGTACACAATTTTATAGCTGATTTCTTGATGTTGCGTGTCTTTTTCTTCATACAAAATACTGATGTGTTTCGTTTCTCTCAAGTGTTACATGCATTTCTGTTTCTCTTTTTTCTTTTTCTGTTTAAACAACAACAAGCATAGGCGTACACATTGGTTTCGACAAAAATAAAGTCCACCAATGACGCCTATTCTTATGGAGAAGCTGGGAGGAGTGTTTTTAGTACTCCTCGGCACCCTCGCCCTCACCATCGCCAGAGTCCATGCCAACCTCCTCGTAATCCTTCTCCAGGGCAGCCAAATCTTCACGGGCCTCGGAGAACTCACCCTCCTCCATACCCTCACCGACATACCAATGGACGAAAGCACGCTTGGCATACATCAGATCGAACTTGTGATCCAGACGGGCCCAGGCCTCGGCAATAGCCGTGGTGTTGGACAACATGCAGACGGCACGCTGAACCTTGGCGAGATCGCCGCCAGGCACCACAGTGGGGGGCTGGTAGTTGATGCCAACCTTGAAGCCGGTGGGACACCAGTCGACGAACTGAATGGTGCGCTTGGTCTTGATGGTGGCAATGGCGGCGTTCACATCCTTAGGGACCACATCGCCACGATACAACATGCAGCAGGCCATGTATTTGCCATGACGAGGATCGCACTTGACCATCTGGTTAGCGGGCTCGAAGCAGGCATTGGTGATTTCGGCGACAGACAGTTGCTCGTGGTAGGCCTTCTCGGCGGAGATGACGGGAGCATAGGTGACGAGGGGGAAGTGAATACGGGGGTAGGGCACCAAGTTGGTCTGGAATTCAGTCAGATCGACGTTCAGGGCACCATCGAAACGCAGGGAGGCGGTGATCGATGACACAATCTGACCGATCAGACGATTCAGATTCGTGTACGTTGGACGCTCAATGTCCAAATTGCGGCGACAGATATCGTAGATAGCCTCGTTGTCGACCATGAAGGCACAGTCCGAGTGCTCCAGAGTTGTGTGCGTGGTCAGAATGGAGTTGTAGGGCTCAACCACAGCTGTGGACACCTGGGGTGCCGGGTAGATGGCGAATTCCAGCTTGGACTTCTTACCATAATCCACTGACAGACGCTCCATCAGCAGGGAGGTGAAGCCAGAGCCAGTGCCGCCACCGAAGGAGTGGAAGATGAGGAAGCCCTGGAGACCAGTGCACTGATCGGCCAGCTTACGGATGCGATCCAACACCAAATCGACAATTTCCTTGCCAATGGTATAATGACCGCGAGCATAGTTATTGGCCGCATCCTCCTTGCCAGTGATCAACTGCTCGGGATGGAACAGCTGGCGGTAAGTGCCAGTGCGGACCTCATCGACCACAGTCGGTTCCAGATCCACAAACACGGCACGGGGCACATGCTTGCCGGCACCAGTCTCGCTAAAGAAGGTGTTGAACGAGTCATCGCCACCACCCACAGTCTTGTCAGAGGGCATCTGACCATCGGGCTGAATGCCGTGCTCCAGACAATACAATTCCCAACAGGCATTGCCGATCTGGACGCCAGCTTGGCCAACATGGATAGAGATACATTCACGCTATAGAACAAAAGAAGAAAAAAATGGAAAAGCATTTCTTTGAATAATTTGGAAAATGAAAATCGATATACGCGAGTGCCGCGCCCTAGGCGTCTGTATGCCTAAACCCAAGTGCGAGCGAGATGGCAAACCGGTATAGACAACTTTTATGCCCTTCCCCATCCCTACCGTTGCAGTCAAATTTTCACAAAAATATTCATTTTTCACACAAAAATGTCGCAAATGCCTTAAATATTAACATTTGCAAGATTTTTGCTGCCTTTTCATTGATTTTTCTACATTTTTCTGCACATGACGTCACCAGCAAAGCGGCCGCGTCATCTGTCTGTGTGTGTGTGTGTGTGTGTATGGGCGTACAAAAGCCGCCATTTTGGCAACTTCCGCATTGATATTTTTCACGTTTTCACCACCAGTGGCCTCCTTTTCGCTTTGCGCACTTCATATTTAATAAGTTATGCACCATTAGAGTGTTGCAGTACTTACCATATTGATTAGTGTATATTATTGATTTCACACACGTAGAAATAAAAATTCAGAGTATTTTCTGTAGAGCAATTTTTTTTGAGGTCTATCTCGGAGAGCGTTTACGTTCGAATGCCGGCTATGAGGCTTGACAAACGTGCAACGAATGGTGAAATTTCGGTCGTGGACTGCTATTTATACACACAAATTATTCCAGTCTCCAGTCCTTCCACTGTATGTAGGTGATTAGTGCTAGAACAGATGTGGCCACCTCTGCACTTCCAAGACTGCATAATCGATTATGTTACTTTTAGCCGCGATTTAATATTAATATTGTTAGTGTATAGCATAAGCTATAAATGAAATTACTTTAAATGTGTGCAAAAGAGTGCAAATGTAAATAAATATTGCTTTGGAAAACCATCTGCCGCAGGCAAATGAGCGTTGCCACACGGCGCAATTTTTTCAATGTTTTAAAAATCATAATTAATCAAACAATAATAAAAATTAACCAAAATTAGAACTGAAATTTTAATAAAACATTACATTATATTCAATGGAATGTAAAACCAACAATTACTGCTACGAAACAACCTACAGCCACTTGTTCGATCAATTTATAATAATTAGAAAATAAAATTAATAATATAACAAACATTGATTTTCAGTCTTAACCCATCGCTTATAAAAATTATTAAAAATATGGCACACAATACAATACAATAATAATACAATTAATTATATTAAAATTAGATAAAAACATTTTAATTGTAAAATTCTCTAACAGGCCTTTTAAAAATTTTAGTTTTTTTTATATACATTCACTTAATTAATAGTATACATTTTATATAATAATAAAGATAATTAGATACTTTTCCAATTTCAAATATATGCGCCCATATGGCAAGCCTGTTAGCAGCGTTGCCACTTTCATGCTGCGCTTTTCAGCACTGCTGTGGCATATGCGCATCTGTTTTAAATTTTTTAGAATAAATGCGACAGATTTTCTTTGTTTTGATAAAAATCTTGCAAAGCAATCTAAAGCTGCTAATGCCGTCATTGTTGCGATTACACAGTAGCAGAAAATAACAAACCTGGCCACACGCAATCGTTGGAGCAAAAACAATTGCTTGAGGTGCCAATTAATTGGAGGAAGCTGTGAAACTATAAACGTTGGTTGATAAAGAAGATGTTCGTAAAGTTAAAGACAAACATCGCAGATGCTAGTTTACGTTATTATTAAGACGGGTGGTGAAATGAAATGAAATAGAGGCCACTGGATGTCCTTTAGCAAGAAAGATGGAACGGGAAAACTAGACTATGCCGTGAACAACATGGTCTTTTCAGTAGCCACTCCTAGTAAGCCCAACATTGGAAAAAATGCAAAACTAAACTATTATTAAGGCAACCGTCCCTTCCATATGCCGTTATCTAAGCTTTTCTTTAAGAAATGTAGCATTTTTTTAAAATTACCCTCTTTTAGTTTCCCCTCCTTAAATGTCCACGAAATTACCCACTTCTTGTTCTTCAACAAAATTCCTAATATTAACTAAATTTACCACACTATAGCTACTCAGTTGAAATTGGTGGGAGTGGTTAGTTTACCACACGAACCAACCAACTATTTCACCTTCACCACGATATGAACTAATATGAGAAAATGTACCAGCACGATACAATAAAGTGCATGGTATAGCATTAAGCTGCAGAACTATTTCATTCTCTGCGCATGTACGTCATAAGATAGAATCAAATGAGTGAGTTGAATCAGTTGCTATAAACAATGTAGTATTCGCTTCGTTGCCAATTGAAATTGTTTTGCATATTGGTTTAAGCATAATGTACATATTTCAATTTGATTTTTGGTTTCGAATTTGGCAACAAATTTTCTAGAACGCATGTTGGCAAATGTTTTTCCTATATCAGAGTCTTATTTTGTTTTGGATTAAATTTTATAATTTAAAATCTTATTTTGAAGTATTCGCGATCTTAGGAGCAAGTACATTCAACAAAAGTTGAAACGATAACAGACCTGCGCAATTCCAAAACCATGTAACTTAGTGTCCCATGCAATATGAGAGTGGAACGCGCAAGGGAGCGAGAGCGCGCAAAGCATAGAAACTGTGAGAGTGTCTGGGGTATTCGGGTGAGTGGGCATCAGCACTTTCCTCAGTTCGAATTCGGACGTGTCTGTGAACGAACGTGTTTGTGCTGCGCGGCGAATCAAAAGAGCAAAAGAAAAATACAAAAAGGCAAAGAAATTTGTTATGTGGAAAATCAGAATCATAATAAAGAAGCAAATGGAATAACAACAACGCAAATACACGAGAAATTCCAAGAAATAAAGTGCGTCTACATGAGTAAGAGAGTACGTGCGTGCGTACGTTGTATTTGTTAGTGTGTGTGCGCGCGAGTTGCGTCGTGTATTTTGTTTTTTATGCAAAATCAAAAAAATTTACAAAATTGTATATAAATAAAGGCTTTTTTATACACAAAAAGTGGCGCACCAGCAGCAGCAGCTTGTTGTGAAGTTGCGGCGCAAAAAGAAAGCATCGTAAAAGTTAATTACACTGGCTGGGCAACGAAAGTGCGTCGTTGTTCTATTTTGAAATCGATACCAAAATATAAATAAATGAAAAGCTGCCTGGCTGGCGCATATCAAATTGTTTGTTAGTGTGTGTGTGTGTTGTTAATGTGTAACATAAATGTGGATTACAATAAAAAGTCACCGCAACAACAACAACGGCAACAAAAAGAGCAGCAGAAGCAGCACCAGCAGCCGCAGCAACAACAATGGTTTACATAGATGCAAAAAGGTAAATAACGAATATTTCGCACAATAAAGGAAATAATAAAATATACCTGAAAAATTACTACGCAGCAGCAATTTATGCGAAGTTGTTGTTGTTCCATATCTATCATATCTTTTTTTCTTCTTCGTCGTCGTCGTCTCGTTTATGAATGAGCAGAGCGGCATTGCGTGCGCTTATGTGTGTGTGTATGTGTGGCGGGGCCGCTGAAAAATAGCAAAACAAAACAGGCAACGAAATGCCGTTGCGGTGTTTCGCCTGCTCTCTCTCACTCTCTCAAGTGCCCGCTCTTAGTCTTCTCGCAGCACTGCTCTCATACCAATACGTGGACACATCATACATGAGTAGCATTGCGTATACATGTGTTAAATGTAGCAAAAACAAAAAATGGGAAAAAAGCAAAAGTGTGAAGGAAGTGTGAAAACCACAACAATAGCAACAAAAACAACAATAATAATTATACGTGAGAGTCAAGACAATTGCATCGAAATTATAACTGTAACTTCGTTGTCGTCGACCTCGGCCTCTCAAAATCCTGCTGCGTTCTGCAAATGGCAACAGAATTGGGCACTAATTAAAAAGCGTAGTATTATATATTACTAATTAGTATGCTGCTGTGCCCCATACAGCGCCGACTCTCTGCATGTGCGTAGTACAAGTAGAGTTGGGAAATCAAGTTCGCTTTACGAATTTAGTTCCGTAGTTCCTTTTCTAAGGAACACATTATTAAAGCGTTACGGACAACGTTAAAAATTTTTATCAACTATGTAAACAGTTTATAGAAGTTATTTGTTAAAAATTGTACATGTAGTTAAATTTTGTTTCATATTTAGGCTTCTGTAAGATTTTAATTTCAACAAGTAAATTAGAAAAAAAAATCGGATTGGCCAATAGGGGACATCCTTTTTTCCGCAATACCCATCATTGAGGTATTTATAAATTTCGCGAATTTCGTCTTGTCAACCCACTGTTTTCAATATTCTTAAGCAGCTAAGCCCTTGAGACTTGTTCTGTAGCTCTTTTTGAAGACCTCCTCATTAGAACTAGTTCAGATCCGACTAACCCAACTCTAGTGCGTAGGCAAGCAGTGTTCTCATATGGCCCCAACGCCATATTATTATTATTGTTTAGTAGTAGTATTATTGTAGTAAGAAATGCCATAAAAATTGCTAATATTTTGTAGTGTGAGTGAGTATTTCTAAGTGTGTGTGTGCTTGCGAATGTAGTGTATTAATCATGCCGCAGAAATCGGCAACAGGAATGTTACCGTGGGCCAAAAAGCCCCAAGTATACACACAAATATGTATGTGTGCATTTTTGGCTTTTTGTGTAATTTATTTATTTTTAAATCGAGTTTACTTATGCGTGTGTGGGACAAAAATAAAGTTGCTGCAAAAACAAATCACACGAAATGAAAACAACTACAGCCCGAAAAACAACGACCGGCGCATTTTTTGTTGTTGTTGATTTTTTTTACTTTGTATGGCAAAAAACCGGAAATTGTTTGCGGCTATTGTCGATGACGTATGTATGTATTGGGAATGTTATTGTTGTTATGGTCACACTGACATCTGCACGATGACAACAACAATTGCTTTTGGTGACAGGAATGGCTCATTGGGAATTTTGGCGCATAATTGTATTTATATATTTTTATTTTTTTTATATTTTTTTATATTAAAAGCAATACCAACAATAACAAGAACAACAGTTGCGGCCACACTAATTAGCGCAAAGGCAAAAAGCACGAGAAAAACAAAAAAATTATTTTAAAAAAATGCTTCGGCCAACGAAATGTGCGAACGAGAGGGCCGCGCCACATTGCTGATATGTGTGAGAGTGTGTGTGTGTGAGTGAGTGAGAGCTTGTTGTTGTTGTTGATTTTGAAGACGTCGCTCGTTCGGCGCGGGGCTCGTATGGCGAGCGAGACAAACACACAGGTGTCATTGACCTTTTTCCCTGCGGCGGCAAAAATATTTCTTCGTTTTTTTTTTTTTGCTCTTCTGTTATTTTTTTTTTTGTCTTACTGTGCAGTTTTTTTCACTGTTGCGTTTTGCGTGCGCTGGGCTGTTTGGTGTTGTTGTTTTTAATGCCATTTCACTTAGCCCCTCTTCTCGCTCTTCCTGCACAATTGTGGCGCCAATAACTTAACTTGGCCTTGAACTTAGGCGCGTTTCTAATACGCTTCACACAGAACTCAAAACACACGCGCACACACACATAGACACACGCGCACGCATTTTGTACCCCGCTTGTCCCCTTGTGTGTGTATGGTGCCCTTAAAAGTTTTAGGCGGGCGTACCGCGTCAGTTTATTGCTCTGTTTTTGTTATTGTTGTTGGTTACTTTATTTTTCCGCTTTGCTT